CTTTGTTGAGGAAAAAATGAGTTACATGTATGTAAACAAACTCTATTTAGAAGACTGATGCGGAAAGAAAAATGGAAGATTTTAGCTCAAAAAAAGTGTCCTTTCCTTTCTATTCCAATAAATCAGGATTTGAGATCATGTAAAAGCAAGGACAGTTGGGTGGATAGCTCAGTGGTTTAGGTATCTGGCCGAGGAGCTAAAGGTTGTGAGTTCGATCCCCATTGTGCCTCCTGTGAGTAAAGCCAGCCTGTGTGGCCTTGGGCAAGCTGCACAGTCCCAGATCTGCCCCCAGAAGAAGGAAAGGGTAAACCACTTCTGAGAGTTCTCTACTTGGAAACCCCCAAAAAGGGTTGCCATAAGTCAGAATTGACTTGACAACACATGATTATTGTGATCAAAGATGAGAACAGAAAGGGATTCCAGACACATTGCCAGTGAGTGAAAGAACAGCTGAATCTGAATGAGCTTTTGAGAGGCATAACAGGCTGGGATAACAGTGGTGAGAGGCACAGTACTATTGGCAGGCAAGGGTTAAAAACAGGTATAAAGTTCCTTGTTTATTTGCTTTTATATATTCCCTACTTCCTGGTGAGACTGTAGTCACACTGAGTGAGTCTGGGAGCAAGTGTATCAAGGAGTGCGGCGTAAGTACTTTTGGAGGAAGATAACTTAATTTGGGGAACAGGTTTCATTTGATCCAGAGTTTAGTAACTATTTAAAATATATATATCAGGAGTAGTTAGATGGGGCTTCTTTCTCACCATTGTTGAATAACCAGTATCCATCTAAAAGATGGAAGGAATGTTTTCTATGTGGCGCATGTCATTAGTTTCAGCCTTTCTTCAGAGAAATCAGCCATTGGATAAGAATAATCATAATAAATTAGAACAGGAATTATTTGTTAGTAAATATGATTTTAAGATATGCAATTCAATTAAATATTTTGGTATAGATATCTAAAGGATATCCAGAAAATAAAAGAACATAATTATAATAAATTAAAAAGGGATATTAAAAATAAGTTACAAGAATATTCTAATTTGAAACTTTCTTGGTTTGGAAGGATTGCCTTGATGAAAATGAACATTTTACCAGAGACTTTTTTTTATTTATGATGTTACTGATGCAACTATCAGAAGATGATAGTTCTGGCAAGGATTGGTTAATATATATTGTAATGAAGGTTAAAAAAAGCTAGAATAAATAAAAAGTAATGTTATAAATATTATATGGCTAATCAATTAAGGTTTATTGGGGAAATCATATATAATCCAGAAAGATTAATTTGCTGGGAAATTGAATCATTAGAGTTAGAATATAATATTGAAAAATTTTATTTGGGACGATTAAAACATCCAAATTAAGTAAGATTAATAACCCTTATTTAAAAACTATGCTAAATGCATGGTATAAATATATAAAAAAAGTCTATTCCCCCCTAATTCACCATTAAGATTAGTAACTGAAATAGAAAATTTTCCTGCTAATCTGAAAGTTCCTGAAAAATTATTTAGGATGAAGCAGGTGAGTAGATTAAAAGACTGGATGGAAAAAATGAGATCAAAGAAACAAATGAAACAAATTATTCAAAGTAAGGATTTAACTTGGTTAAACTATGAACAATTAGAGAAATGGATTAAACAATGGATAAAGAATAATAATAATAAATGTAGAGAATATACGAAATATGAACAATTCCTTTAAACCAATGAAGATATACAAAAGGATGATTCAGTGAAAGGTGTGGTAAGGGAAGCAGGCCTTCCCTTGGAGTTACAGGAAGATGAGACTGAGGGTGAAGGATTGAAACAAGTATGGGAGCAAGACTTTTAAAAAGACTATTTGAAAAAGATTTGAAAATTATATGGAAAATGAGGAGAAGAAGATTTGAAAATTATATGGAAAATGAGGATTTTTCGATGTATGTCAGTAATAATAAAAGAAAATTTCTATAAAATAGTTTTAAGATGTTACTTAACATTGCTTAAATTGAGCAAATACTAAATACTCTAATGTTTGTCGGAAATGTGATAATGACATTGGTACATATTTACATTTGTGGTGGGAGTGTGAAATAGTACAAAATTTTTGGAAACTAATTACTAAGGAATTAAGAGATATTTTTGATAGACATATAAAGTTCCATCCAGAAATGGCTTTGTTATCAATATTTGTTACTGAATATTATGATGTTATAACTAGAGAATTTCTTATGAATTTATTGTTTGCTGCGAAATTAATTTTAGCTAGGAATTGGAAATCTAAACATGAATTTCAACTGGAAGAATAGTATAATGAAGTTTGGAATCTTGCTGTAAATGATAAATTGACTTGTATTCTGAAAGTTAAGAAAGGGGAGTTTAAAAAGACAATTTTTATTATATATGGGGTAGATTTATTGAATTTGTATTAATAAGAGGAAAAGGTAAAGTCCCAACATAAGGATCAATGCAATTCTGGAAAGGAGGGCAATGAGAAGAAGAGTTCTCCAAAAGGTCCTGGTGGGGAGCACAATTATTATAGTTTGTACTTTGCATTTTCTATTAGTTTTTTAAAAATTTTAAAAAAGAAGTCTCTCTCACCATCTGGAGACACACTGAGTCGAGCCAGACCCAGACAGGGAAGATTCAAGGCCATTTCTAAAGTTCCCGTTTTTCTCTTGATACAGTGCAATTTAGAAGTGCCGTTTACAAACAAAAGTTATTTCACATGAAGGTGACACCCTGCAATTTTCTCTGTGTGCTTTACTTATGTTGGCCATGCCCAATGATGTCCACCCCTCCAAGAGAACACAGGAAGGCTAACCTTGGGTTTTTTACGGGCTACTTTTATTTTCTCTCTTATCAGGAACCACTCCATTTGAAGGTTGCCAGAGGGTAGATTCTCCTTTGGAAGGTTTTTCCCCATTGAAGGGCTATCCAATCCAAAGCTGATTTTTTTTTGTACCTTAAAGATGTGAGATCAGGAACTTTACATTCCCATCCACAATCACCTTGGCAGCAGATTCTACAGGTGCAAGTAGTAATTTGGTCTTGGACTTCCTGATTTGAATAAGATGCTTTCTAATTCTGCACAAAACCAAAACACATTTCTGATTTTTCACCTGTACCTGTAATTAGCACATGCAGTTACTTAACCTGTATGTATCGTGGCACAGTAGTTAAACCGCTGTACTGCAGCCAAAACTGTGCTCAATCCCAGGTAGTGGCTCAAGGTTGACTCAGCCTTCCATCCTTCCGAGGTCGGTAAAATGAGTACCCAGCTCGCTGGGGGGGGGGCAATGTGTAGCCTGCATAATTAACTTGTAAACCGCTCAGAGAGTGCTTGAAGCGCTATGGGGCGGTATATAAGCAGCACACTTTGCTTTTTATTATTATTATTATTATTATTTGCTTTGTAATAAGCACTTTGGTGTACTCTTTTTTTGCTGATCTGTAAGTGGCCACAAGAGGGTAGACAAAGATGGAAGACACAAAGCTGTGTGCTAATCAAGATGCTGAGCTGAGTTGCTAGTAGCTACTAGAAGGGTAGAGGAGGAGAAAGAGGGAGTGCATTTTTTAAACGTCTGGGAGGAAGAGGATTGGTTAGATGTACCGTTCTGTTTTGAGCCACTGTGCTGTAGTGGACAGACTGTTGGATTAGAGTTGGTTGTTGTGGGTTTTTCGGGCTCTTTGGCCGTGTTCTGAAGGTTGTTCTTCCTAACATTTCGCCAGTCTCTGTGGCCGGCATCTTCAGAGGACAGCACTTAGGAGACCTCAGTTCAAATCCCCATTCCACTATAGAAACTAATTGTGGAGTGGCAAAGATAAAACTACTGTTTAAATATCTCACATAATTTGAGAAACCATAATGTACTTTCCTCTGTGTGTTATTGTTTTTTAATCCAGATACGTTGCAGCTAAGGATAGTAATTCTGATATTGTCTTGACAAAAATAATTCTCATATGACTTATAATTAGTGTTAAGAGTATTGGATCATAGGACTGAAACCCTGGGGGTCCAGATTATTCCAAATGAGTGGCAGGTGGGAGGTAGTGGTATACAAGTCCAGCATCAGCACCTAGACCAATCTTGGTATGCAAAGGTTCATCAGAATTAACATTGCATCATATAAATTCTTCTTATTTTGAAACTTGTATTATAGATGGTAGGCAGCTGACTTGATCTGCACACAATAATTGAAGTCCATTTTATCATTTTTTCAGAAATATGTCATCCTTCCCTCTAACAAAAGGGTGCTTATAAACAAATAAATGTGTTTAGCATTAGAGTGGCCGTATTGTTTGAGAACAGCCAAAGTTCTATTGGAATTTTCTGTCTGCCCAGGAAGAATTGCAAAAATATTTATTTATATACATGGAAGTATCCAATAGGATTTAGCCAATATTGACATGCCTTCCCCCCGGACCCTACTATGTGATTGAAACAGGTTCTAGAAATGACCTGCTTGAAAAGAACTTGATCTGCAGAACAAAAAATTAATGAAAGAGGGTTTTATTGATCACCTATTATGTTGGTCAAAAGTAACCATATGGAAGGTTATTATGAGAGTTTAAAAACGATAAGCCCTGTGCATATTTATCTTGCAATTAGTACATATCCCCACTAATGTTACTTTCTTACAGAACATGTGCTCTGAGAGACTTGCAAACTGGCCTTCCAATGACCTGCCAAAAAACAAAACAAAAATAAAACAAAAAATACAACGTATGCTGGAAGTCACAAATAAGCATCCAATAGAAGATACACAGACATCTTTCACGCCTCTAAAGAGCACAGCTTCAAAATGCATGCTAAACAGATGATCTAGTTTTAAAAAAGGTAGTTTGCTATATTACCTAGTGTACAAAATGCAGAGATAGATTGACCAATGGTCTGATTTACTTTAAGGTAGTTTACTATATTTGTGCAGGGAGGCATGGGCAATTTATGTATACATTTATAACATTTATACATATCTGACAGGGAGTTCTTTGCTTCTTTGTTCCCTGCAGAAAATTTAGCTATGACAACAGATCCAATGAGAATACAAAATGGAATGCTGCTGTTTATTCCTCCAAATGGAGCCAGTTTCCTCCAGGGAGTTCATGGGGGTCCAGGTAGTGTTATCCCGCCAACAGGGATGGTACAATATTTACAGTACGGAGGCCAAGAGGGTGGAAGCAGTCAACCTCAGCAGAACCGACTAGTGGGGAGACTGGATACGTTTCTAAAAGCTGAGGCCAAGACTCTGGGGGTAAGTGTGTTTGATAATTATTCATAGTAAGTTGAGTAGTTTCCTGACAGGATCAACGAATATTCTAGAACTCTAAATATTAGAAGGGCAGAATTGTCACATCATGTAAAATGTTTGTTTCTGGAATGGATTGGCCAACAAAATTAACAAGCCAAGGTAACATGCAGCCACATTCTCAAGACTAATATCTTAAGGATGGGAACTTCCCAGTAGCACTGAAAAGTGAGCAAAATCCACAGTTTATTTTTAAAAAGATAGAAAACATCTACTTTTTTGATATATTAGAATGTTACAGCTCCACAGTGTACGACTGATCTTCTGTCCTTTACAATTTACAGGCGTCGTCATGGAGAAGATACCACAAATTCTAGCTCTCAGTGTAATTTTAGCAGTCTCTCTTCTACCAGCTTCCCACTTCGCTCCCCATACACATACAAAAGAATTCAACCTTGCTCTCTTACCAAAAGGAAATTCCTTTCTTTCACACCATTATTTCAAGTCTTTTCTCCTCACACCTCTCCTCAAGTGGTAACCTCTTTCACAATATTTAAGGCACATCTAATAGTCAAACTAGATGACACCTATGGCATGTTTTAAAACATGGATCTTGCTGAAAGATCCATGTTTAGCCCAGCACAAGCTTTCTTTGGCCCTCATAGTTTGCTTTCCTTAGTGACTGCTCAACAGTAGGTAAACGCAGATTTTGTTTGCAAGTCTGACTACTCAAAATAATGCTCTGCAGGAACTGTGTTGCTGGAGCACTCACATACTTTAGGCATTTAATAACATGCTATTTAGATACTCCCCTTTGACTCTCCTTTACACCATGGTTATAATAAATACAGTAATAACTTCACTGTCTTTGTAGCTTAACCGTAACTCATTTTAGTTCTTTTTATGGTTAAAGGGGATGCCTCACTATTCATGTTTTCTATGCAGTTTGTTTGGCAGACCCATGGCTTATAGCATTCTGATATTAACGACAACAAAATCGCCCCACTATTCAGTTGTTAATTTAGTTACTTTTGAACAACCATGAAGTAAAACATTATTTTTTAAAAAAAAACTGTAACTATAATAGTAGCTAGCTTCTTCCAGGGAACCTTGGAATGGTAGTTATAACCGGTGTGTTTGCAAAAAATTTATCCCATAGAAATTGCAATCTTTTTCCTCAATTTGATTTTTTTAAAAATTTTCCTTTGGAAAAAAAATAGAGAAATTCTGGAGAAATGTTCATTGTTGAATTTCAGGATTCTTGATTTTACTTTAAGTAATGAAGTGACTCATGAGTGTCCATGTTTTGTCTTCCATTGTACAAGTAGCACTTGACAGTCTTCCCTCTGCCAGGTTCTCACACTGCAGTTTGCATGGCAAACATGTTCATTTTACCTTTGTTTCATTTGTTCCATTTTATGTTGATGCATGTGTCCTCTTGGGACAACTTCTATCCCTTTGTAGTATATCAGTCCAACACTCCCACACCCCACACACACATTACTCACACCAATTGTCATGTCTGTTTTTCAACAAGCTCTATAGATTATAAATTTCTTGTTGGGGCTGCTTTTACCCTGTGTCTACTTTTTTTTCCACACAGGCCATCCAGATCATCATTGGACTGATCCATATTGGCTTTGGGGGTGTCGCGATTATTTTTAGTACTCCATTCCAGGTGGCTGCTCATGGATTTTTTTCATTCTGGGGTGGCGTTTTAGTAAGTAGTATATTATTTATCCTCAAATGTCAATGGATTAATTCCTAACAGGTGCTAATACATGAGGAGAGAGAGAGAGAGAAAGAATAGCTGGAATACTAGGGGCGTTCAAGTAACTTGAAACAGCTAATTGCAGCTAATGGATGAGGGGAGAGACAGAGAGACAGAGAGATTGATCTGGTACTTATGGAATTTTTCATATGTGTTTTAAATATGAAATCCAGATCATCATCATGTATATGAAAACTGATCTCAGTTCTCCAAGTTCTGTTCCTCTTATTCGCTACAGGACGCCATTGACATATACAAGAGAGATACCAGAAGATTTAAGAACAGTCCACCCAAGTGAAATTTCCCTCCCACTTGTAGGGATTTTTCAAGGCCATTTCTCCTCCTGTCCTTAGATCAGAAATAGGAAAGGTTTTCTGGACCGTACCTCCCAAAACACCATCGCTAAAACGTGCAATGGCTATGTGTCCTAAGTTAGTCCAAAAAAGTAACATTTCCCATTCTGCTTCAGATGATTTTATGAAAATGTATTTGATGCCATACAATGTAATGGTACAATATTTATTTATGAAAGTGAAACAACATGTTTTCCCAAATGCAGAGATTTTTTCTGTAAACTATTAAGTGAATTGAAACACATATTTTCTTTCTTTTATTTGCCCAGTTCATTGCTTCTGGGTCCCTTTCTGTTGCAGCTGAGAAGTATTTGGACAAGTTCTTGGTAAGAAAATTGGCATGAGGACTCTTTTTGACTATATTATTCTATTAATACAGTAGATGCCAAAGAAATAATCTTTCTGTGATAGCTTCAGGACCATATCCAGAGGCAACACTACTCAGGTGTTGATCTACAATAATATTTGTCTGTTATTTATATGGCTTTGGAAAATTAAAGCTAAACTCTAGAGCAAAAGAAAGGAAAAAGTGGGGGAACCCTCCAAAGAACATGGAAACGATTGGGCTCTTTAATTGAAGAGTAAATTCCCAAACATATACATTTTGGTACAAACCTTCTGCAGACATATTCAGAGAATAATGAATTGAAATTTGAACATAAAGAGATTGTGAATGGTACAGGACACATTAAAGGTGAACTGTATGAAGACAACTTTCATGCTTGAGTTTAAAAAATACGGCTTAATTATAATGAGTAACTATATATCTTACATACCCTTTGCATTATGAATAAATTTAGGCGGTTTTTAAAATGTTGCTTCCTTGATACAATGTTACAAGGCAAGATGCCTATTAAAATGCTTTGGGTAGTTTACTATTATATTTCCATTTTACATTTTTCAGAAGGATATTCCAAATTCCTCCTCACTTTTGCTCTTTGGACATGGTGATTGCCCAACCTTTCATTTTTTGCCTCAGCAATTCTTCCGGCAACCTAAAATAGCCTTGGCCTCCCCACCATCATTTACCCCCGAACATGCAGCGGTTTGTCTCAAAGTGGAGGTTTCTATCACGGCACTGCTAGATGAGTCCACCCAAAAAGGAAGAAGCAGAATCCTCCAAAATTGCCAGATACTAGCCTGACCTTCCAGAAGAAGATAGCACTATAGCTAAGGAGACTGAATTGCCTCCTAGTCCCAGAGAAGACTGCAGCATAAAGGCATGATGAGTTTAGCTAGAAGCTGCCAGGCAAAGAGAAAAGACACTTTGGGAGAAAAAGCTTCCTCAAGAGAGCAGGTTGTTCTTGAGGGAAAATTCTTCCAGGGACATCAATAGGCCAACACCTGCTGGATAGCTCAGTGGTTTAGCTCACTGGTTCTTAACCTTGGGTTACTCAGGAGTTTTGGACTGCAACTCCCTGAAGCCTTCACCACCAGCTGTTCTGACTGGGGTTTCTGGGAGTTGCAGTTCAAAAGCATCCGAGTAACAAAGGTTAAGAACCACTGGTTTAGCTTAAAGACAGGCACGAACCAATTTGTCCTGGTTCATCCCAGTTTGTAAAGGCGGCAGCACAGGTGCTGCTCCTCCCCTCCCCCACCTCTCCTGGCTCAAACAGCCACTCACCAAGCCCAGCTTGCTTCTTTTTTCCACCTCCTCAGCTAATCTCCCAGTCACGAGCAAGAGCACAGACTTGTTTGCTCCACCCTTTTTTTGTCTGACTTGGAGATCAGCCCAGAGGGCAAGACAGAGAAGCCTCAGCTGTTGCCAGGACTGCAAGATCAGCTGAGGAGGTGGGGGGGGAACCAAGCAAGAGGAGGCAGGAGAGGGGATGCACCAGTACCTGGGCTGCTGCCTTTACAAACTGGGACAAACCATGATGAACCAGGCTTGTGCCCATCTTTAGTTCAGCTGTCTGACTGCCAAGCTGGAGGTACCCAATTCCCCACTGCACCTCCTTGACAGGGGCTGGACTTAATGATCCATAGGGATCCGTTCCAGCTCTGCAGTTCTAAGATGATGATGAGAATGATGAAAAAAATAGCAGGCACAGTAAATCAAAATTATAAAAATGTTGGTTGGTGGCCATGTAACAGATGATGGCAGCCCTCCCTGAAAGGTTTGGTGGCTCACATGACAGATTTCCTTGTTTCCTTGTTTCTTGCTACAAGCAACTTGAGGCAGAGAATTCTTGACATGATTGGTTCTGGGTGGAATTCCTGATAATCCTGCTCACTGGCTTATGTGAATGGTATTCATCTTCTCTGGGCAAGCCAGTGGAAGTTATGGATTGGATGAACCTGGTATATGAAGATTCCCTGTAGAAAGAGACTACTAAATATTGCATTCAGCAGCTCAGGCAATGCATCTGGTCAATCATGACCTGTACCAGCTTATTTCAACTATCTGCCCAAGTTGTTTGAAGTTTAGGACTGGTTCCAGTGTACTAGCAAAGGCTTGCTGGTACATCCAGTAAATCAGATGTGGGAGATCCAAAGCCCTTGACTAGGAGCAATTGAAAGCCAAGTCCAGCAGTCCCTGAAACACTGGGAGAGTTCGCAAAACATAGTCAGGTTGGACCAAAACATTATACACAGCTAGGGAGTTGGCAGCAAGGATCAAACACACTGAAGGCAAGGTCAAGAGGAAAAAGAGATAATGTTCCCAATACAATATAGCTAAGCCACTGGAGTCACATTAAGAGTTGAAGAAAGAGCTTTCTCTCAAGGAAACTCGTGAGAAATCCTTTTGAGGAGTCTAACTTTCCCTGCAGTCAAGCAATTTGTTCTATGTTCTCGGGGCCAGCTTCCTCCTCTAACACAGGCAATTCAGCCACATGGACCCCAGAAGATCTGGGGCTGGAGGATCCAGGAATTCCTCCCCTATTTCAGGTTCAGGGGATTCCATCTCGTCCTTGGTGCAGGAATCATCCCGGGTTTCAGAAACCTTCCTTGAGCTTTTTACAGAACATATGAATGAAAAGGAGGCCATACGCCCTTGACCCAACATTCCCATCCAGGTTTGCAGCGAACTCCTAACCTTCCCACATTTGGCACAAATGAAGGATGGAAAAGTTTATTTTGTGGACTACCGAAATCCCCAGCCACCATGGCACATGACACGCGGCGAGGCTGATTAATCTGGGTCTTACTAGTTGGAGAACTGTGACAGTTACAATTAGAGATGGGCATAAACTGCCAGTTCATTTATCGGCCAAACAGGCGTTCGGCACATCCTAGCTCCACCTCCTCCAGCAGGACTTCACTCGGAGACAGCAGCCGAGCTTCTCTGCCCTGCCTCCTATGGGCACTACCTCTGAGTGGGTGCCTGTCAGAGGAGGCGTGGCTGGGAAGTGCCGTACATCAATTTGGCTGATAAATGAACTGGCATGAACCACAGAGGGAGCAGTTTGTGCCCATCACTAGTTACAGTCCAACACTAGTAACCCTCCGACCTCTGGACCAAAGGCTTTAGTTTTTTAACATCTAGACTGCTTCAGATTTGTTTGGGGGAAAACCTCAGTATAACTAAAGACTGGGGCTTTTTACTGAATGTTATGGAACCAGCTTCCGGAGGAGCTCCACCTAGCCCCCTCCCTGTGGACTTTTAAGAAGCAATTGAAGACATTGCTTTTCAGGGAGGCTTCCCACACCCACCCCAGCTGACCATCTTCTTCCTCACCCCCCCTTTTTTCCCCCTCTTCCCTCTTCCTCTTCTCTCCCCTCTTTTCCTCCATCCCCCCCTCTTCCCTCTTCCCTCTTCTCTCCCTGCTTTTCCTCCATCCACTCTGAGATTAGTTGGTGCCATCTGGTTTTCTTTTTCTTTTCTTTTCTTTTTTTAAGGGTTTTTGTTATCAGTTTTAATATTTCTGTTTTCATGTGTGTTTTCTATTTTATGACATTGTAATCAACCCAGAGTAATGCTACAACACTAATGGGAGCAGGAAATAAATAAATAAATAAATAAATAAATAAATAAATAAATAAATAAATAAATAAATAAATAAATAAATAAGTAAATAAGTAAAGAAGTAAAGAAGTAAAGAAGTAAAGAAGTAAAGAAGTAAATGTTTCCATGATTCCCATTGACCGATTCTGAACCTTCTTTATTAGACTCTTTGCAAAGCTTCAGAATGTTCCATTTTTGGACTGATCTGGCTTGGGAATTCTAGGAAGAATATTCCAAAAGGGGATATTCAGAAGCTCTGACTTTTTTCCCTCTCCTTTGTAAAGATCTGCACCTTGGGCAATTAGCTTCTTTGTGATCTTTTCCAGGTGAAATGCAGTGTGGCAATGAATATCACCAGTGCTGTGGCGGCAACTGTAGGCACCATTCTATTTATAGTGCAGCTGACAATAAATCGTTATGGCTATGCAACTGTAAGTGGACAATTATAAAGGGGACAGTGAAAACTGTACACCTTGAGCTTGGGTTGCATTAATTCTTAATAGTAGAATATAATTTTCCTCTAGTAGTTGCAGGTGTTTTGCATTCTCAGCAATAGATCTTCCTGGCCAGTCTTGTCAAATTTGTGGTTCTCAGGCTTAAGGTCTGTGTTTCTCTCTACCTGCTGATCTGTTTCTGAGCATTCATGTCCAACTGTTCTCCAGTGAATTAAGAACATACACATCTGTCCTAAACTAAAGCATGCCTGAGGATTCTGATGGCCAACAGCCCTCCATGGTTCCAGGAAGCCCTGCCTGGAGATGATGGGGTTTGCACTTGAGAGCCAGACACAGAGCACCTATTTCAAAACAACACTCAGGGTTGTTTATGTGTCTGTCTGTCTGTCTATCATATAATTAGTCTGAGGTTGTGACTACATGACCAAATACTGTGGCATTTACTGTGGGTGTAAAATGGATGAATCTTTAAAACAAACAAACAACCCCCCCCAAAAAAAACCCAAAACCTGATCACACAACGCAAAGGCCATTTCAAAATAGTCTGGTCCTTTTTGCTCCCAACATGTTCCCCCCCCTCCAATGGAGCCTTCTACTTTTTAAAAGCTAGAACAATTCAAACATACTTTTCTCTGAGTGGCTGGTTATTTCATTATCCCAAAGGATGATTAGGTTTTAAAAATAGATTTCTAAAAAGAGTAATCCCTGCTGTGTGAAACAAGCTGAAGCAAAATAAGCCTCCTTCAGGGGGACAAAATAGCTCACAAAGTCATGGATTCTGTCACTGTAAATACCAAATCAAGCCTTATGTCGTTTGCAGGGCAGAGGGGGAAATGATATAATCAGCAACAACACACCGGGTGCTCTTTAGCAAACAAACACTCCAACACATACATTTTAATATTGTTTATTTCACAAAACAGCCTCATGGCGCAGTGGTTAAACTGCTATACTGCAGCCAAAACTGTGATCATGACCTGGGGTTCAATCCCAGGTAGCGGCTCAAGGTTGACTCAGCCTTCTATCCTTCCGAGGTCGGTAAAATGAGTACCCAGCTCGCTGGGGGGGGGGGCGCGCGCAATGTGTAACCTGCATAATTAACTTGTAAACCGCCCAGAGAGTGCTTGAAGTCCTATGGGGCAGTATATAAGCAGCACGCTTTGCTTTGCTTTATAACCTTTATTTGGTAATTTTAAGAAAGAACAGGTAGCATTCAGTTCAAACATTTAACTCCATGTGTGACTTCCAAGCATTTTGAAAACAATTTCTGGTTCAAAAATTCTTATTCTTAAGACTTACTTTGCCCATTAGACATATTTGTTCCCAAGTTCTTTATAGCTGCTTCTACTGCACAGAGTCTGGCATTTTAAAATAGCATGAAGCAAATGCTGGTTGATGAACTGCCAGTTCATTTATCGGCCAAACAGGCGTTCGGCACATCCTAGCTCCACCTCCTCCAGCAGGACTTCACTCGGAGACAGCACCCATTTTTCACTAATGCACAGCTGATCAGCCATAAGCTGAGTGGTGGAAATCAAGATGGAGAGGGTTTCATCCTCATTCCTTCAGCAATCCATGTAGGCAAGTGTATATGTGCTCATGCCCATAGAGGTGCATGTGCCAATGAACATTTCTGCCTGGCAGTGGACATAAGTACATATACTTGTGGCTGTGAGAGCAAAACAGTGTTTATGTGTCCTGGATCTACTGATTCGTATGGCCTCACAGGTGCCTTCAGCTACAATTCTGACATTTCATCCAAAAATGTTTTCCCATGCCTGTTCTTTTTATCTACAGTAAATTAAGCAAAATATTTAGAGGGTAGTTCTGTCTTCTGTCACAAAATCATGGCCTTTAGGGGTGACTTTAAAAGTATGAGCAAGGTTCATATGTATATTCTAAGTACGTATCATGCCAAATATTACATCAAGTGCGTGTCTGGAAGATGTGTGTCTTAAAATTTGTTTCATGATGTTGCTAAACGCAAACATGCCAACAAGCTTCTTGCTGACCCAGTTCTTACATGCAGACAAAACCTGGATCTGTGTTATGTTGTAGGAGACATTTCTCTGTCGGGCAAAATGATTAAACAAATGGCCACCACTGCCCCAGCTAAGGTGATTTTCTCCCTTGGTGCTTTAACTCAGGTGCATGTGGAAGGCGATTACTCGTGCCTTTTAAAATCTTACAGCTGTTGAACTAATCCATCATGATGGAGGATGAGTAATTTTGCTTCATCTCTTTTTCTGCTCTACAGTCAGTAGCTACTGGGCTCAGCGTCTTGCTTCTCTTGTTCACCATACTGGAGTTCTTCATCACAGGTTTGGCTGCCCGTGTCACGTGCCAGGCGGCCTGCTGCAGCAATGATACGGTAAGCGCATTGTAAAGAAGGCCAAAACACATCCCATGTGCGTGTGAATACAGGAAGTAACAAATCTGCTACAGTGGGGTCTTGACTTGAGAACTTAGTCCGTATTGGAAGGCGGTTCTCAAGTCAAAAACTCTGTAGGTCAAGTCTCCATTGACCTACAGTGCATTGAAAACCGATTAATCCCGTAACAGGCCGCTTTTGTTCCATTTTGGTTTTTTTGGTCTGTAAGTCAATTCTCAGGCTGCAAGTCAAACCTAAATTTTGCGGCCAGAGAAGTCTGTAACTCAAATAAGTCAAGCTGTCTGTAAGTCAAGGGTCCACTGTATTTTGTTTTGTATAATGTTCACATTTGTCCAAGCTCAAGTTTGTTCCATCACATTCTACTACTACTCCTGCACCAACATGGGTGGTCCTTTTGTGGCAACTTCATCTGACACATGTGGGCACAATTTCTTTCTCCTCACATATGCATTCTGCATGAGATGGGAGGGGGCAGATTTTGCTGCCGCCACCAAAATGAATTGTTACAACCCGTCGTGAGAAGTAACTTTGAAGGCCTTAGGTTCCATGCAAAGTTTTACGACTTACAATGCTCTTTATTTATAATGTTTATAATTTTGTTTATATAGAGATTCTGGAGCTGTGAACGATGAATTAAAACAATAAAATATGAACAAATACAATAGAAATTAATCTATAAACTGTGGCTGGAATTTTCCTCCATTAGTAAATGCTTGTTGACAAAGGTCTTCAATAAAGGCCAAAAGACAAGTATAATATGAACAATATTTTACTTTTTAGTACCTGAAACTTTTAAAAAACACACACCATGCTGAGTACAAATTATTTCATATTAAAAAGCAAAATGTATAGAAAATGTGCTGTATGTCATAAAAGAGAATGGACTGCTGGATAGCTCTGTATCTGACTGTGTAGCCAGTGGTTGGGGGGAGGTTCAATTCCCCACTGTCCCTCCCTGACAGGGGCTGGACCCGAAGATCCACAGGGTCTCTTCCAGCTCTGCAGTTCTAAGATGTTGGTGAGGTTGATGAAACACAGCCTTCAGTATTAGTATCGCTAGCACAATACCATGTCTAAGAAATGGGAAGTGTTGAACTAGGCCATGGTGATGTACAATTGAATATGAAGTTACTTGAAAGGCATCTGTGGCAGGGGGAAATTATTTGTTTGGTCAGTTGTTTTTCCCTTCCCTGATTTTTTACAAAACGAAAAAACAAAGAAACTCTGAACTGGCAGTTTACTGACATGGCATCTGCCTCACTTGTCTCATACCATTCACGCAGAGGCAAGGGAGCCCCACTTCCCACTTCCTGCTTACAGTCCTGTCCCTGCCAGCATGAGAGAGATAAGTGGGGGAATCCAAAAGCAAGTGTTTGCTTTAGCCTGCGACAAGCTTGTGAAAAAGTAAACTCTGTGGTTCCCTTTTTTCCAGATGGAGAAGATATGGCCCAGTATCACACCCCACCATTGGAGTGGTGCTTGAATCCTTTTTTCTTTTAAAAAAATAAATTAAAATGCAAATTTCATACAGTGAAGAAAGTGGCAAAACTCCACTCACTGGAACTAAGAGAGACAAAATAAAGCAGGGCTTTGGAGATCGTAAAAAAAAAGTTCCAGGAAAGCAGGAGGGGGGAAAATGTAATAACTGAGATAAGGAAAATGTCATCTGAATCTCAAGAAGCTGCAAATTTCCTATCTGGAAAGACCCCTGTGTCTGAATGTTCAGTGGTTATCCTTTTAAAGAGTATAAACCAATCCTCAGAGGAATATCTGAGCTAATAGGAAATAGAATCTATGATGTGATAACTGTGTAGATTACTGACCCATCACCATTACCTGGAACAGAGGAATCTGCCTTTTAGCAGTTTGAGCAGATAATCCTTATTTTCCACTATTGTTCAATCCAGCTACAGTGGCCTGAGTCCAATGAACTGAGATGTCTTATCCAGTTCTGTGACCCCTATTATTTCTGCCTAGGAGATAAATGTGGGCTGAATCTGAGACTTTGCTTTTGGAGACCATGTGTTCTGCTTCTGAGATGTGGACCCAAGCTGGTAGTGTGGCCTCTGTGTGAGGAGGTCACCTCAAGCATCCCCAGCAGGCTGTCTGGCCCTGGCCCACAAGCCCAGGGGAGCCCAGGAGAGAGCAAGTCCCAGGGGCCCTAGCCAACAGGGAAAGGCTGATGCGGGCAGAGCAAAGGCCACCACTTGGTGCAAGATGGCTGGAAGATGGCATGACAGCAGAAATAAAAGGACAGAAGTTGCAGGGCTCAGGGCCATCCTCGTCAACCATGTTAGATGGGAGGAAGCAGTTAAGCACTGAAACCCTGTCTTCTGTCTTCACAGAGGAGCAAACTGGGATAGAGGACAAGGGGAGCCACCTCGTCCCGTCCAGCCTTTTCAGCCATAGAAGCGGCCAGCAACCTGAGGCTTTAACAACAACGCCTGTAGCTGTGGCGCCTCCCCAAACTCAGCCTCAGCGCTGGAGGTGCCAGTGGCAACCAGTGCAGCAAAAGGGGCTCCAGGTGGAGCAATGCCACAGAACCCAGTTCCCACCAACTGCTTTCATCAGCCTTATAAGACCCTGTGTCCCATATCGGGACTTCCCGCCAGCTTCTCCAGACCTCGACTATGAGGCAAGGGGCAGTAAGGGTTGACTCTGTGCCTGAGCGATCAAATCAGGCTAGAACTCATAGGAATTTTGGTGAGGACGCCTCAGCAGGACTCCCCCTCCATTAGGCCATAAATTTAATAATAGGCCATAACTCAGTAGTAGAATATGTGGGGGTGGGGTGGGGTGTGATGGCAATGAAGAAATGAAAAATGAAAAGCAACTCTTATAGCAACTTCTTTTCTGTGTTTCAGGCAGCGGCTTTTGTGCCCTACTCTGTCATCGGAAGTGGTGTTACCTCCACCGAAAACTATCCTGCGCCACCACCCTATGATCATGTAGTGCTCACCTCCAGTACAGACGCTTAATTTAAAAAAAAGAGAGACAAGTTATACAGGATACTCCAACAGTAACCTCAGCAGTCTAGCTGGGCAGGTTAAGAGTAACATGTTAAAAAAATTAAGTAAGCATGCACTGCCTGATTCAAGATGTTTCAGGGATTTGAAAGTAAAACCAGCTGAAAAGGAAGCTTTAAAATTCACACATGGTTAACTGGAAGTTAAAAGGAAAGTGATCTTTAGTGCTATACTACATATGCACATAGTCAGTAGTTTTGCCTTGAGAAGTAATATATTGTTCAAGATGTTTTGGGGAGGGGGTTCCCTGGTTTTAGTCCTTAAAATGGGAACTACTGTATTAAAAGATGGTTTGAAAGTAAAACCAGCTGAAAAGGAAGCTTTAAAATTCACACATGGTTAACTGGAAGTTAAAAGGAAAGTGATCTTTAGTGCTATACTACATATGCACATAGTCAGTAGTTTTGCCTTGAGAAGTAATATATTCATGGTTTCTATAATACTGTACTGGGAATACAGTATCTCCATCTTGTAACATTGTGTGCCAGAGATATGATTTCTCTGTTATACAAATCTGTTTTGTGAATGGTTGCTGTTAATACCCATTCACTGTGTTCTATCAAAGGGTCAACTGATAATTTAGCTAAAATTGCAATCTTTTAATAAGGGTGACAATCCAATGACACTATCCATAGTATTTATCCTGTCAGTTTTGTCAATAAAGTATTGAGATGGAGGTTCTTTTTGATAAATGCATACGCTAAGCTGCCAACAAAATGCACATAAAGTGTGATAGTATGTAGGCTCTCTCACAGATGTTAACCATGATCACTAGAATCCCTTTTAAAGGGAAAGAGAATCCCTGGGGATAAGAGCAGAAGTTTTTTTCTTTATTTCTTTTCTTCCCTCCACCTTTAAAATATTGGTTTCCTGCTGTGACCCAAAGTGACAGTGCAGTTTCTATCGCTGGCCATTTCCTGGCAGTTGCCAGCTCTGCCTCCTTCCACACATCAACTATGTTACCATTTGCGGCAGAACCCACTTCATTCCTTCTGCTTGTGCAGTATCTTGTTGTGTGAATAGCGGGACTTTGTTCCTGCTGCACGGCATGAGGGGAAGAACTGTTTGCTTTGGAAGGGAGCAAATTCCACATTTGCAGAACAGGAGACAGAAACTCATATGAGAGTTCTTTGGGCACAGCATTACTCCACTCCAGCCAACAGGCTCAAAGGTGGCATTTTGGCGCTCCTCAGTGTGGGAACTGTGATGCAGCCACCACTTTTGGCAGTGGCAGATGAACATTTTGGTTGAAAAGATCTAGTAGAAAGCAATTAAGTTTAGAAGGGGTAGAAAATTCCCCATTATATTAAATGATGGTGCTTGCCACTGTGAAAATAGTGGCGGTGTACCCTTTTCTGAGGAGGATGTCCAGAAGTGTACAAGAGCTACCACCCCATTATCTTCCCTGGGCAAGGTGTCCACCATGTGGTAGGTAGACATTCTCAGAGGAAGCTCTGGACCCATTTCAGAGTGTGACTACACATTGCGGGAAATGTAAATTCACGCTTATTCACTCACTGTGAGGTCACACCATAGAATTTGGATCTGTGCAATCTAAGTGGTCACATTTGCTGTTTGCTTGCAGTTCTAGACATATAGATAGCCCTGTAGGCAGTGCCATTACAAAGAACTACCTTGCAAATAATAAAAAGGCTTCCTATTTCAATTTCCTCATATAGTTACCTCCTTACTTTTTTAAAAAAAACTCTGCCCCTTGGAGGTATGTGTGTGTGTATGCGCACATGCTTCTGCATGGATACACGAGGCTAGCCTTGCAAATAATAAAAAGACTTCCTACTTCAATTTCCTAATATAGTTACCTCCTTACTTTTTAAAAAAAAAACTCTGCCCCTTGGAGATGTGTGTGTGTGCGTGTGTGCATGCGCGCATGCACACATGCTTCTGCATGGATACACGAGGCTAGGAGGAGGATGTGTGAGTGCACTCGATTGAGTTCTTCTTTCTTCATCAATTCAAAGCAATCACATGCTTTAAACCAAAGCAAAAGGATACAACTTTTAAAAAGAAGAGGTGTTTCTTCTGGGAGGAAAAACTACAGATTGGAGCTGTCGGGCTCTGGAGGGTCACTCATATTTCCTGTCTCATCATGTGATCAACAGGAAAAATGAGGATCAGCACATCCCAAAATTGTAATGTTTCCTGCATTTCCTCATGTGTAGTCAGGATCTCAGTCTGGCTTCAGAAACAGCCTTGGTTGCCCTAACAGAGGACCTCCTGCAAGGGAAAGATGGCAAGAGTGCTGTCCTGTTGATCCTCATGGATGTCTCAACAAGCTTTTGTGGCTATCAGCCATGAAATCCAATCGGGCCAGTTCTGAGGAAAGGTAACCTTGGAAGTAATTGTTTGCAATTCTGCACTCAAAAAAAAAAATACATGTCGTTCCATGAGGAAGACTAAAGAGAGAGGACATCTTCTGTTTTCCTAGACTATCTTTTGCCTGCTCTAACCTATGCTGACCTCCTTGCCAGTTTAGATTATTATTCTTAGGGTTGTTGATGCCACGTTTCACCCCTTTCTCTTGTCCCTCCAGGAGGTGTCATCTTTTCTGTGTTCTTTAGAGATGAAAGAGGCAATCGTGGCTCCTTGCATCTCCAACTTAGTTAGGTGGAAATAGGACTTCTAGCACCTTCCTATCGCAATGGTATTTCCCCAATAAATACAAGCTTCCTTATTTTCTTAGCGAGAAGTTTGAATGTGATTCCTTTAATAAAGAGGGAAATGTGCTCAGAAAATACTGTAATTCTAAGTGTCAAAAGACAAACCACAAGTTATAAGTTGTTCCTGTACTGCTGCATGCTTACTCTCCAACAAAGAATAGGAAGCATGGTGTTGTGATGATTCCTCTCCCATTAGCAGGGAGAGCTACAGACAGTGTCATCAGGGTACTTTTGCTGAACCCCCTGGCTATTATGGGGGGCCACAAGGCTCCATTCTCTTCTTATGCTGTTGAACATGTACATAAATATGCCAATCAGAGTAAACAGGAGTATGGAGTTGAATGCTATCAGGACACCGATGGCATCAAACTCCATTTCTCATTAAAGCCAGATGAAATTATGCACATGCACCTATCAGTTACCCATCAGATAATAAGAAAGCCCTCAGAGGTAGTGAGCAAGAGGCCATTAAAAAGTAACCAGCTTCTACTTACGCTTTTAGAGCTATAACAGAAAAATAAATGTTGGGATAAGTGGGTGGGATCACCACAAGTTGATAAGATGAATACAGTGTATTTCTTTAGATACATCTGAATATATCTGTGAAGATTCTCAGTCATCCAGGTGAGGTTATCTGGAAGTTGAGCCATGGCAACTGGACTTTTTTTTATTAGGTTGAAACGTTTCGCTATTCATCACTTCCCCCTGGTCTGAATAGGCTCATTGGATAGACAAAGGACTAGCGGTGAGGTATAATCCCTCTTCTGCAGTCTTTCTCCTCCCATTGTCATGGGTTGTCAATGGTTTTCAACAGTGGTCTTTCTGGTGTGTGTGTGGTCCTGATTAGAGATGGGAGTATCCGTATTCATAGATGAATATGAATATCCTCCTGCAGGTAGAAATAATGAGGGCCCAGCCCCATGGGGCCAGGTGGTATACTCACCATTCGCCTTCTGCTGCGGGCGCAGCAGCAGCTTCCTATCGTGCTGTGCTCCACAATGGATTAGTCATTCCTGGCTGGAGACGGGATGACAAGCCTCTCTGCCAGGTCGTGGAAGGGCTAATCCATTGCGGAGCACAGTGCAATAGGAAGATGCTGCTGCACCTGTGGCAGCAGGCGAATGGTGAGTGGACTGTCTGGCCCCATGGTTAGAAGACTCTCGTTATTTCCACCTGTAGGGGCATATTCATATTCATTGAAATCCATATTCCGACACCTGGTGCAACAGAGGCTGATGCAATAGCATCTCTTGTTAGCATCTCCTGCAGATCTCTATGCACATATTCCTTTTCAAATTCAGGAGGGTTTCCTATTTGCCTGTTTACCTCTGTTCTGTATTCAACTTAACATCATATTTCCAAGTGATAGGAGACTTTTTGTGAATGTCAGAAGAGCAGAACGGGATGTTCTGTGGATTTCAGGAAGGTAGATTCCATGGAGGAGCAACTTCTAGAACTATTCTTTCCTGGTTTCACGCAAACCAGGGCAGAAACACACACAACTGCCTTTCCCTCTTAATCCAATACATATAAGTATAAAGGATTCTCCCTTCCCCAAACTTTGGGGGTATGCTACTGCAATTAGAAAGCCAAAGTTTGGAAATGTTGCATTTTAGATTCTTGTGGTACCAAGGTACTTCTGAGTTATGGCAAGCCCAATGGGGTTTTTGAAATATCTGCAATATTAAGGACTGTTTTACCATTCCGCAGAGAGTTTCCATGGCCAATCAGGGATTTGAACCCCGGATCTCCAGAATCCTTGTCCAGCACTCAGTTCACTATGCCTCACTAGCTTTCCCTTCTGTCCTTTGCTGACCGTAACATTTGTTGTATTTTTGTGGTGGGCTTGAATACTGTTTGTAGGTTGTGTTTTTTCAAAAGTTTCCCCATGCGGTCCGTGATCCCTTTGATGTATGGCAGAAACACTTTCTTAGTGGGTGTCTGTTTTTCTTCTTCAGTTTGGTGTTGTTTTCTTGGTTTGATGGCTCTTGTGATTTTATTTTTGGAGTAGCCATTTGCCTGTAGGGTCCAATTCAGATGGTTGCATTTAGTGCTGAGAAACTGAGCTTCACAGTTCCGATTTGCATGGTCTACCAGTGTTTTGATTATGCCTCTTTTTTGCTGTGGGTGGTGGTTGGAGTAAGGGGTCACGGACCGCATGGGGAAACAAAAATACAACAAATGTTACAGTCAGCAAAGGACAGAAGGGACCCCCTCACCACTGCAGGAGTATACCGGATACCTTGCAGTTCTGGCCAGGTATATATTGGAACCACAAAATGAAGCATCCACACCAGAATCAAAGAATATGAGAGACACTGCAGACTAAAACAATCAGAAAAATCTGCAGTAGCTGAACATGCCCTAAAACAAACTGGACATGAAATTCTATTCCAAAATACTGAAATACTGGACAACACCAGCAATCATTACGTCAGACTGCACAGGGAAGCCATTGAAATCCACATGCACCAGCAGAACTTCAGCAAAAAAGAGGAAAGTGTGAA